ACACTCCAACACGGTTTTTGACTTTACACTTTTTACATAAGAAAAGGCACCGGACATGCGAAGGCACATACCACTCTATGTGATATACCTACTATATATAGGTGATATACGGATTGCTCATTTTAGTTTCGTCTTAAACGGTGATGATTGACTTGATAGACACTTTAACAAATAACATGCAGGTTTTTGCAATTTTTTTTTAAATTAATATATATACACTATAGGTACATGTTTATATGTATTGGTTAATATAATAGTATGTATCTAACTATCTACCTATATGTTAATATTTTTTAGGAATTATAATTGCACATTTCTCAAAATGTTCATTGTTATATTATATCACACAACAAATACATATCATATTTGTTTGTATGTATATAGTTTGAATTTTTCGTAAATTATTTCGTAAGTTGTGTGATAGGGTTTTCACTTATAGCCGCTTGATGTCGGGTCTGCAATCCACCGCAGGTGGATTGCCTACCTGATTTGCTGTAGCACATATAGTCCGCGATCCGACGAAGTCGGATTGCCTACCTAAGTGGCTAACTTGAAAGTTAATAGATTTTGACTTGAGATGACTGACTTGCTAGAAACTCCAACACGGTTTTCGACTTTACACTTTTTACATAAGATAAAGCACCGGTCATGCTACGGCACATACCACTCTATGTGCAGGTATACTCTATATAGGTGATCCTGGAGATCGTATCCAGCCTATCCATTTACAACGTTTGTGACGGATTGCTAGACACTCAAACTTTTAACATTCCCGCCAAGCGTCTAGCCTTATCTCCAATCCATATCACTAATCCTTATCACAAATCCTAAACTTTCGTCTTACAAGTTACAACCTTTGCGACTTTTATAATTCATTGTCTCCAAAATCGGTACCCACTCTCAGCGATTCCAACGGGCCCCGAGTTATACTTAGAGCTAGTTATATTATATTATAACTGCAATATAAAAAATTCATGGAATAAACAATAATATGTAATTTATTCTTCCACAATACCCCTTTTTGCTTATCAGATGTTGTCTGAGTGTTTCTCTTGGTTGGTGGTGAGGAAGTAGCAGTCCATTAGTTAATAGGTCTATGAGTTGAATAGCTATAGAATAGTATGAATATTATCATATATTGGCTATTTGGTATGTTGTGGTACAGTGGCGGTCAAATGATTTTGTTATGGGGAGAGGGGGGATTTTTAACATGCACTATTTGATTATAAAAAAATAATTTATGGTTTTTAAATCTTAAAATTGAAAAAAGATCATGGGGGTGTAGGTAAATCAAACTCATCACTCCTGTTTGACGTCCATTGTTGTGGTAACATGTTGACTAGCTATTGATGACCACACGGTTTACACGGAATACAGTGAATAAGAGCCATTACGTGTGCCGTAATGAACTTAAGTGAAAATTATAGAAAAGTAAGTAAAGTTAAGTATTGATTGTAATGAATAACTAGTGGGGGGCCCGTGAGACTCGCGTTAAAAATCGGGAAAAGTATAAAGAAACTCAACCACGGAATGTATTTGGCATTGGTTATTGGAATAACTGAACAGACAAAACGCTGGATCATGGGGTCTGCAATGTTTATCCGAATTTGTCTGTTATCAAACGTTTTCAACATTTAGTATTTACCGCTTTAGAATTTAATCATAGTTATAGAATGTCATTGTACAATATACGGAGAAGATTTATTATTATGAATTAGAAATGTTAGAACTTAGAATAGTCATTCATTACCAGGGTCCAGGGCTCGGGACTTAAAGTATTTGCTTATTTTTATGGATTGACTTAAAATGTAGCAGAGTGCTATGGAAGTGTTTGTCGTGTTACGACACGTTCAATTTTGAAATTTGAAAGTGCTTTTTTTTGCTTTTTTCATAGATTTTTGATTTTTTGACCAGTTTTTCTACTTTTTTTATGGTTTTATACTGCAAAGTTGTTTTTGATAGAATTAAAATTAAATCATTTAATGCAATAATGACGGTAAGATTTAATTAATTATTTTTTTTTCAACTAATTGTAAATATCGTTTACATTTTAATTTTCAGAAAATCCCTCGGAAAATCTATAAATAATAATATGCAAATTGTCTAGAAAGTGAAGTTTGATTTTTTTTATTATATAAAGATTTATTTATTTATTTTTATTTTTTAATTAGAAACTTTTCCTAATCATTATTTTTAGCACAGTTATACAAATTATGTCTAGTTCCTACTTTATCATGTAAAAATAAATTTTTTTTTGATAAAATATTTTTACTTGAATATAAGTTTTTTAAATGCTTATTTGAGTGCTTATAATGATGTTTTTAAGCGCTTATTTTAATGATTTTAAGTGCTATAATTCCCGAGCTCTGTTTATTACTCATACGACAAGTCGACAACGATAGGGAACTAGGGAAGGTATACAAAATAATTAATTAACACATTGAGAACACATAAAGAATTAACACTGAATTATAAGTCATAAATATTACTTAATACGGTAATTTAAAATGTATTAAATAAATCCTCATCAAGTCAATTAATTAATCAAAGAAAAGAAGTGTACCTACCTACATACATATTTAAAATTGTATTTATTTACAATATTTAAACTGTTTAGTGCAATAGACAATAATATGGTGCTTATAAAGTTATAAAGAACTAATGAATGATTTGAGTTTTGTATTTTATACAACTATTAATTAAAACGTGAACATAATAATTATTTACAAATTTGTTATTTATACTTTTTAGTTAAAAAAATAAATTCATAAAACAAAATTAAAATAAATATATAAAATAAGTATGTACAATAATATAAATTTGTCGTTTTTTCTTTCGTTTTACGTTTTTAGAAAAATATTTATATTACATAGAAATAAGAATTAAAAGTAAAATTATACAATCCACTTTGAATTGCGTTCTACTGAAAGTCTAAAAATAAAAACATACTATTTTGGTTCCACATATTGGTGTGGTAATCTAGCAATATTAGGTTAATTGCGTCGTTTACCGACTGCAGGTACCAAGACCGTTGTGATGAGGATTTCTTCTTAGGATGGTTGAATAAAATGTAGACTCGTAGAAAGTTAGTGTTTATTTTAAAATATCAATTTAGCAAAAAATACTCCAAAATGACAAATTGTTACACTGGGTGACTAGTTTCATAAGGTCTCCTACTCTCCTACCTTTCCCCCTTGCCTATCGACTTATCCATATTGCGTTAAGTCGTTGGGTATCTGTATCCTGCACGCCTAGTCGTACAAAAGTCATATTATCGCCGTTTCCGCATGAAACGCTAAACATCCATTAAATATAATGTACTTGTTTCTATATTTTAGTTTAATATATATATACCCATATCCTGTCATCATATATATGATTTGTGTTTTGCATATACCTATGATGTGGATTTTTATATTAAAAGTTAAGATCAAAATATTTATTACGTTTAAAAATATTATTCCAGAAATAACATGAGTGCTCGTCTGATTTATCCTTCCTTATCTTGGTCGTGTACAGGTGTACTTGACAATTGCCAAATTACTGCAGTTGTGTTCGCTCTCCTATTTCCCACAGTACTATTATTTATTATACCTTTCAATTAACTACCGATGTTGATTATTTAATATGCGTTTTGTTTAAACGGATTTGATCCATTACATTGGTTTCTTTATATATGAAAAACGCTGGATGAGGTTAAATAATCCTCTCTAATTTGATTCAAAATAAAATCAAACTCATGACGGTTTAATCCAAAAAATTCCCTAAATCGATTCTATTATCCTTATGTCCATATTATTCATATCTTATATTATATTTTTAACCTTCTAAACTTCCATAGATTTATTTAAATACATCATGATATTTTATTTTTTCCACTGACAAATACCAGTGTAATGAAATATCTTTGTCGTCTGCTCTACACAACAATACAACATACTGAATAAACATAAAATATATACTTAGATTCGTAATTTAATAATTATATGTTTTACAATATTAATAAAGTAAGCATTTTTGTTTACGTTAAATATATAAATGGAAGTAATAAGGCACTAATTTATTGTGAAATCAAATTGTTAGATCAATTTTCTGATACGACACTTATATTCTATGGGCTATGGCCAATATATACAATTATACATCAATTATACATCAACCAACGAAATATTCAAATATGTATAGGTATTTTATTATATTAATATATTTTTTTGTGTTTATCATTTTTGTTTACAGAATGCAAATACAAATATTATATAAATTATATTTTTCAACGACGATGAACAACATTATTGACAGTTTACACCTACTGCAGTACAGCAGAGCGGTTACCAACTTTTTTTACTTCATAATTTTCAGATTTAAAAATTAAATTAAACGAACTTTCATTTAATATTTCGTGTTTTAAAACAGCCTCTATACATGTCACTATGTCAGTGTGAGTACACATATTTTTTAAAAGTAGGTATGTATTTAAATTCTTCAAATTATAATGAATTATTTGTAATAACTGTTATCCGAAAATACAAAGTTTATTAATATTAAAAATTACACACAACGATACTGAACAACGCAAACGATGTGTGTAATTGTTATTATAATATTCTCCGGCGACCGGCATCTGCTGATAAACTGTTGTCCGTATGTATGCTGCAAATGAGTCACAAGGATGGTGGGGTACGGTACATCTGCGACAATGGACGATTAACACTTGACACAGGACTACCCGACCACAGGACAATTTGACCCTGCCAGCGATTTAATGTTGTCCATAGACAAAATATAAACCTAACCTATGTGGTTGACGGGGTGCTTGCCTGCCGCTGTTTACCGAAACAGTCGTCTTTTCGGAACTGTATGTAGCATTCTCGCATCTCGCGTTAGTCATTAGCCATACTCTGAGCCACACGCCCACGCCTGAAGACCGGTTTTGCAAAATAATATTATTATTTATTATTATATACAATATATACAAGTCACAGCCGTTGTGTATTTATACGATGTCGGAAGAAATCAACCTTGGTGTAAGTAAATGCACATTTTATAATAATATAATAGGTAGTGTACTAGTGTCGTTAGTGATTTACACAAACGTCGATTTTTGTTACCACGACGAAAATGGTTCGAAGACTGTCGTGATGTTTTGTATTATTTAATAATTAGATATTTTTATCTTAACAGGTTGCGAAGGGAATATCTGTACCCGAACTGCCTTCGTCAGATATGAAATGCCGCACAAACGGATTTAGATTAGGATTGGAACCAGAAATGATTATGCACTCGAAACTTTTAGATGGTAGAAATTACCTTTTAATAAAGTGGAAGAACGTTGATGATCCAACTTATGTCAAGGCTTCTGTTGCAAATAAAAAATGCCCAAGTCTTGTTATTGATTTTTATCAAAAACACCTTACATGGTCCAATCTTTAATAGGTAAATACTAAATTAATTCAACTTGGAAACTACCGTAGGTTACTTTAGTTTGAGTTGTCAATTTTTTTTCTCTATACAGTGAAGTAGTTAGTACTGTCTATACTCCTGTTATAATTTAAAATTCTAATTTTAATTTTGTAATCCTATATTCGTGTATACATTTTTTTATTATACATATTTTTATCACTATTTCACTAACGTAACCGAATTTATGGTATTTACCAACAAGACGGTATTTACCGAATACTGGTGGTATTATTCATTGCTCCGCCATAAAACTTTTTTTTATTATTAATTTATTTTCTTATTTATGTGGACTGCAAATTGTAAATATACAAAAAATTATGTAAAACATTGTTAATTACAATTTTTTTTTTAATAACGATAACATTACCTAATAGAAGTGATAAGTTATTTTTGATGTATTAAACAAACGGCAGTTCAATTTTTTGGGAAAGCTAATATTGGGCGTCGGGGCCCATTAAAAATTACTATAAAACCAGAAGCTCAATAATTATGAGCCAGGCCGACACTGCAGGGTAAGCAAGGTTACCGTATCCGTATACGGGATACCTAGATAAAAAAACAATTATTGTTTGGAACGAATACAATTGTATTATGTATAAAAAATAAAAATGTTATTATATAGATTTTGTAAAATGTTTAAATATATAAGGTTGATTATATTATTATATTATACATTTTTGAGTTACCTACACGAAAAAAATCGATTTTTTTATATATTGAGTTTGAGTAAGAAATACCGATTTTGACGTGATATGGCAAACTACCAAATTGCGCGCCCGTGCACGTTTTTATGTGAGCCGCCAAAGCTGGTGTATAGAATTAAGAAATTTGTTTGAGGATAAAATGTATTACTTATCATAAAAAAATAAATAAAGTTAGTGGTTACTATGTGGTTATTAAAACATGGTGAGCGGGTGACGGGGAACGACCCGCAAAAGGGTCCTCTATTATCATCTACACTCATAATTGAAAGATTTCAGCACTACCAGTGGTTTTATTTAGCGTCACATTTTGTATCTCAGTCCGTATTTTATAGTTTTATACAGATAGCCCTGTAGACTCTCGATTATGATGGCGACCCCCCGCATTTGCCTCTTGTACATACTTTCGAGGCTACTAATAAGCTGCTCGTTACGTTACCAGTCTATTATATCTTAGTCCGTGATGACTACAACTGTCTAGTGAAATAGTTTCACCTAAATAATATTATTTAATTTGATGAATACAGAACAAGAAAACTCTGGGCACAGCATTGTTAGCACGGATACGGGTAAAATGTGTAATAACCATATTAAAGGCGGGTTTCCAGTGTTTCCACTATACACGTTTGCCGTGTACACGAAAAATGTTCAGCTATGTCCAACAACACGGTATCGTGGTTAATCATGTGGTAACTTAACATAATCAACCAATCACAGCAAAGGATTTGTATGCACTTGAACGCGTACGTGTATACTGTATAGTGGAAACCTGCTTTTAAAATTAATAAAATATCTGTTGAATGGTGATAAAACCATGGTATCATAAAATAATCAATCATAATGTTCTATCAGGGTATAGACACTCTGTGTATTGGCAAAATCGGGTGACTGTGGCCTTGAGCACGGTCTCTAAGGGGGTGTGGCATATGTTATCATTTGAATAAATCATATCAATATTATCAGTCCACAGAATAATAATACAATATATTATTATTATTATTTCATTAACAATAAACCAATTTAAAATTACATTATAGTTTTTAATTTATATTAAAACAAAATCCTTATTCATTTTACCAAAATTTAATATTGATATACTTAAAATATGAAAAATAAATTATTTATCTTTATTAATCGTTTATAAAAATTCCGTAACAAAGAGGGATACACGTTGCTAACGTTCTATCAGATTACGGATACGGTACAACTTTTATAGTCCAATACATCATACCGTAGGGATACGTAAACCCTCACAGCTGATCGAGTGTCTATTCTATATTGTTCTGTGGTTCTATGGTATCATTATTATCTATGGATAAATACCACAAACTACAAAATATAACCAGACAGTAAATAAAAACGGTTTATATCACTAGAAAAAAAAACGGTTTATATCACTTTCATGGATGAAAATATCATATCAGTTTGGCTTGGAGTAAACAACAAATAACATTTATCACTGGCCGCCGAATTAAAAAATATTTGAATTTTTAACATCATATTATTATAATATAATATACAAATACAATTTCACAACTGAGGCCGTATTTTTTTTTTATTCACCGAAATTTTTTTAATATATTTCCAATCATATTGTGTACTACTTCACTTAGTATATTTATTAGGCAGTGGTATTACTTATGTGTTTAGGTAGTTGCAGGTAAGCATAATATAACTAATATAAGATTGTTAGTTTATTATTCATTATTATTCTCCTAGACTCTACACCATACATGTCAACTTATTGAACTTAAATAAACAATCTTCGGTACATATAACGATTCATTATTTGAATAATTAACCTGTAAGTGGTATGGTCTGGTGCCATAGACCGCTGCAGTTTTTGTTTTGGTTTACTTATTAAAATGTCGTACCACTTACGGGTTAAATATGGAAATAAATACCAATATCATACCAATATAATAAATATTAAATATACACATACAATTAACACTAATGACTGAATCCAATCAGATTCATTTTGTTCTAAGTACATATTATGATATATATTTATTTGGTATAATCGTATAGATAAAATTAGACATTTTTTTTAAACTTTATTGAGTTTTATATTGTACCAAAGTATTGTGTATTATTTATAACATATTAAGTTATCAATTGCGTAAATTGCGATATTGTTAACATTTATATTTCTAACATAATAAGTAATAACTAATTTAATTTAATTTAACAATTAATATAATTGATATACCTTTATACAAATATAATAATTTATGATATGTTTAATTATGTAAAACAGGTAGTCAATCTCTATTGATGAATATATAATAATATAATGTTTTATATTACTAATATATAGTATAAGTCTAAACAGTACTTTATGATAGACAACTATGACTATATTATGTTAATTAATAAACTGTTTAGCACTATTGGTTAATTCAATAATAATTTTCTTCACACACCATGTTTACTTAAGTGTAATTTATGTTTTTACAATATTCATGATCAACATCTCAAAAAAGTAATAATATTTTGATATATATAATAAATAATAATGTATATAACACTTAATATTCTAAAAGAATTTTGCGTACCACAGCTGTAATATAAAACAGTATTTATATAAGTTTTAATATTGTATAATATATTAAACAATACATATATACCACAAAACAGTTAACATACATATTAGTCACTTAACATTATAAAAGTAATGAATACAATTTAAAAAAATTTCAGAATCTGTGGAACATCATTAATATAGGCCATTATGGTTTTAATGTTAAACTGTGTCATTATTATTATTATTATATTTAAATTTAAACTATTTATTGTAAACCTATTTATTAAAATATTATAATTATGTATATTTTACACTGTATGTCTGTACCATACTGTATATTTAAAATAAAAAGTTAAAAATATAAAAGTTCTTTGAACAATTTTGAATTGGAATATTCAAATTGTACCAATTAGTAATTTAGTTTTTTGTTGTATTAATCATATTTTAAGTTAAATATAAATTCTTATGTAATTATATTTATTACAATAATTAGATAGAAAATACATTTATTATAAACTACAAAGGTACAAATTAACTTAATTTAAATTTATAGTATTTTTATAAACAATAGTTTGATTCTTACAATCTTAACAATAATTTAATGTTTCATTCCTCGCAATCATAATTAATTTCAAAAATGATAAAATTATTATTAAAATTAATCATTATTCAGTTGTGTAATTTCATCTATCTGAAACTGGTAATGACAAAATATATGTATGAACAGAAGAAAACATAATTGAGTAGTCCATGTTATACATTGATATCCTAGTTTATCTGGAACTTGAAAACCCTCTTTTGCTGACTATAAGAAACAAAAAAATACATTTAATTGTAATTCTTGTAAACATATATTTTTAAGTAACTGTAACATAGGTATTGCAAATTAAGTGTTATTTATTTATTATGATACCGTTTTGGAGGGTAAACAGTTATTTAACTAACATAGTAAACATATGTGTGTAGTTTGTATAATGTATTATGTGCCAAGTTGAGGTAATTTCTGATCTATAGACTTTAACGATACTGGATGAAACTTTGGGATGTGATTTTTAATAAATTGATGTTATAATAAGCTATTAAATGTTTATTAAAATACAACTTGTAACAGATGTCGGGTTCTTGGTATTAGGCTTAAATAATAATATCAGTTCAAGTTCAGATATATAATTCAGAGGCAATTTATTGACAAAGATTTTAATTTTTAGGTACAATAAATAATTTATGCATGATGTACTTACAGTATCAGTTAAAGAAGAAATATAAGTATTAAGTAGGTATTTTAGGTATCTATTTTAGATTCTGAATGGAGCGATGATTGTGTTGATTTTACAATGATGAAATATTTTATTTTATTTTTGTGTCATCATATTTTGGTGCAGTAAAAATGCCTAACATCTTTTCTACTTCAACATTAAAAATAATCTAGTTAGTACTTTGGAGGGTCAAAAGTAAAAAATTCCCAGAACTTTTCAAAAACATCAAGAAAAATAAACCAACAATTAAGGAAAAACTAAGATTTTTATGCAAAACAATTTTTAGAAAAAATCAATTTTGTGCTTTGGTGTAACTCTAAAAAATAAACTTAAATACATTAAAATGTTCAAAATATTTTGGAATTTTTTAATCTATTTAATATTTATAAACATAAGAAAATGTTGTCGTAATATAAAATCAAATCTATGGTAGGTTGTTATGGTACTTACGATCTATGGGTATAGTACCTACAAAGTTATAATTTG